TCAAAACAGATGGTATGAACTGAGGGTATCCAAAGAAACCTTAAAGCCCAGCAAGAACGTAATTACTGATTTTTCAGTTCTTTATCTTTCTTTTTGGCCTGTCTACCTCCTGCATTTTCATTTACCATGATTTCATAAAAGAATTTTTAATTGATTTTTTATCTACCAAGAATAAAATAAATCATACTGATGTTCTCAAAGGAGCTTAAATTAACTTCTAATGCCTTCCATCACTAGGTGATTATAAATTAAAACAGTTTTTTAATAAAGAAGATGAAGGCAGTCAATCATGGTGATATTATGGTCCTAGAGCGCTATTGACTCACCTTTGACCCCTTTTGCACCAAATTCTTCAGCAGAACCTGACTTTCCCTCTGCAGATGCGAAATGAAGGTCGTTAAGGCTCTTGATTGCGAGGTCCAAATCATTGCCACATTCCTCCAGTGCTCTCTCAAGGATCTGCAAGAGAAAAGCATTAGATGATTAGTGGAAGGATAAACCGAAAAGATGTAGAGACCGCAGACTCTCAATCAGGCAATGAACAAGCAAAAGCAGCAGTAACAGAAGGGAGTAAACTTGTTTATACTTCCATCCCCAGAATCATAACATCATCAAGAGAGTTATGTGACACCACAATATCCTCAGTAGATATCATAAGCCACAGGGCCTTGTATTAAATGAAAATTTTCTTTAGAAGCTATGTTGAAAAGCATTAAACCATGCCATGAAACCCTCAGTAGATATTACAAGCCACATGGACTTCTATTAAATGAAAAATCTCTTAAGATGTTATGCGAAAAGCATTAAACTAGAGAGGAATTGTTTATATATGTTAAATAGAGAAGTAAATCAATGTATTAAAGAGGAAATAAATCAGGATATTAAAAGAAAGAAAATCAAGATATAAAGGTAAATTACACCTATAATTAATTATAATTAATCGTCATTTTCCTTTTCCGTCCTATAAAACCTATTCGTATAGGGGTGTAATACTCAACAAAAAACACATCAATCACAAACAATTCTTAGCATGATATTAGAAATTTAGGTTAAGAAATCCATGAACTCTTTTACAAATGTTATTTGTCCTTCATAAGTGGCCACCACCCTCCTGCCGCTAGCCACCTCCACTACCAGCCAACCTTCATAGTCGGCCCTGGAACCAGTAGCTGCTCCCTGTAGCTGGTAGTCTCTAGCAGCTGTCCACAAACATAAACTGCCACACACAGCTCTCTCTATTGCCTTCATTGCAACCAGACGCAAGGTACTTCATACAGCACGTGTTCTGCGTAAAATTCTTGTGGTAATTTTTTTCTTTTTGATAATTAATTACTATCCAATTCTTAAAAGATGTTGGAAAGTACACCCCAAGTTATGGTAGCAAATGTTGACATGACAACTTTAGATCTTAGTAAATGCAACATAGAGATTCAAAAGGCTAAGAGTTCAACTTGACCCCTTGGAAAAACATACCAATATCAATTAATCGGCACACTCAAGTACGCCCTCTACCTCAAAGGAATTAAATGTTTTAAATAAATCATTTGAAAATTTTTTGATTATAAACTCAGAAGCCACATATCATATGACAAATACTTCTAAATATTTTTTTACATATGTTTCATATTTAAATAATAAAAAAATTATCACTGCAAATAGTTCCTTCAATATTCTTATAGGTAAGAACAATATTAAGCTTAGCTCTACATTTGTCCAAAAAAATGTATTACATGTACCCAAATTGTGTACTAGTTTTGTGTCGGTCAATAAGTTACCACAATATTTGAACTGCAAAATAATATTTGATTTTTCTCACTATGACTTTTAAGACCAGAATTCGAGAAAGATAATTGAACGTATTAAAACCATAAAAAAAACTTTACTTGAATGCACTTGGAGTATCATTCTTTACTATTACTAACGACCTCATATGCAAGATCTAACTTCCCCAAAAAGATTAGGGCACTCATCCATTTTCTTGATTATTACGAATTCGAAATATGAAAATTTTCACATGAGCAATAAACAAAGTTGATTTCCATTTTCATAATCCATATTAATATTTGGGGACCACCTTAGATATCTAATATTTTTGGGGCTTGATGGCTTGTGTCATTTATTGATGACTGCACTAGATTCACCTGACTATTTTTACTCAGAGCTAAATTTAGATGTTAATCATATCATACCCCAGTTTTGCAAAATGATAAAAACGCAATATGGAAGATCCATAAAGAAATTTCATACCAACAATGCTCATGATTTTTTCAATCTCACAATTTCATCATTCTTCCGTCAAGAAGGAATCCTTTATGAATCATCCTCCGTCCACACTTCACAATAAAACGGAGTAGTGAAACACAAGAATAATCACATTTTAACTACCACTAAAATTTTTCTCTTCCAAAACAACATTGGGAGGAAACCGTCCTTACTGTCACCTACATTATTAATTGTCTACCCACAAGTGTTCTTGACTTCAAAAGTTCTCTTGAAACATTTCATCTGTTTTATCTAACAATAAGTGACAAATTATCTAATCCCTCGGATATTTAAATATGTTGTTTTTGTTCATATTCATTCTCACTAAAGAGGAAAACTTGATCATTAGATGCTGAAATGCGTATTTGTAGGGTACTTCTCTCAAAGAAGTACAAACGTTAATATCCACCTGCTCAAAAATTCTGTGTGTTTTCGGACATCACATTTATTGAACAAAAATTCTATTTCGCACAATCTTATCTTTAGAGGGAGCCTATATTAGAAGAGAATGATAAATCTACCATCATTACCACACACTTCAAAACCATTACCACAAGAGAATGTTCAGAACCCACCAGAAAATTTACCACCACAAGAAAACCTTCAAGATCCATTCTGTCAAATCATCATAGCAAGCTCTAGGTTTTCTCAAACGCATACAAGGAGGAAAATGACAAACACTAAGCCAAAATAGGTCCAAGAATCTGACTTCCTCGAACCAAGGTAACTCCCGAAAAACATATACAAGCATCTGATAATGATATACCTATTACACTTCGTAAAGGTACAAGAGAATACACTAAATATCTTTTGTATCCTATCTCATAATTTATGTTATTTGATAAGTGTTTATCAACTCATAAAAATTTTCTTACAAATTTAATAATGATTATACCCCTAACATAATATTTGAGATATTATCTTATAAGAAATAGAAAAATATTATGAGTGTAAAAATGCAGACACTTGAAAAGAACCAGATATAAAGCAATCAAAGGCAAGAAATCGACATGATAAAAATGAATTTTCTCAATCAAATATAAAGCAGATGGAATAATTGAGAGATAAAGATGAGACTGCTGGCAAAAGGCTATACACAGAATGGAATAAACTACCAAGAGACATTCGCATCAGTGGCCAAAATGAATATTGTGCGAATCTTATTGTCATTAGTTGCCCACTTTGACTAACAATTACAACAACTTAATGTAAAAATTGATTTCTTGCATAGAGATTTAGAAGAAAAAAATCTACATGAATATCTTACAGGCTTTGACAGAGGAACACAATCAAATAAAGTATGTAAATTAAAGACGATTTTATATGAACGTAAACAATCACCAAGAGCATGGTTTGGCAGGTTTGTAATAGTAATAACAAATTGATATTTAAGGAGGCACAAAGAGACTACCCTCTTTTCATCAAACACTTAGAGACATAGAGAGTTACAGTTCTCCTTAAATAACTTGATGATATTATTGTAATAAAAAACAAGAAGAAAAAACAACAAACACTAAAACAATGCCAAATAAAAGAAATCGAAATCAATGAGTTAGGCAAGTTGAAATATTTTATGAAAATTGAAGTTACCTACTCTAAATTTGGAACTTTTATTTCTCAACAAAAAATATATTCATAACCTACTAAAAGAGATTGACAAGCTAGCATGCAAACCAACTAACAATCCTTATTAATCCTAACCATGAACTAAGAATAGTAGAGGAAGATACGCCAGCAAACAAGCAAATGTATCAGAGATTAGAAGAGAAATTGATCTACCTATCCCACACAAAACCAAACATACTACACAGTAAATATTATAAGTTAATTCATGCACAATCCTAAAGAAGTACACCTACAAACAATTTACAGAGTTGCAATACTTAAAAAGTCACCAGGGAAAAAAATTATATTTAAGAAGTAAAACAAATTGTTTCTATAAGTCTATACTGATGTAAATTATGCTGGTTTTATCATAAATAGAATATCTACTACAAACTACTATACCTTCTTTGAAGACAATCTACTCACCTGGAGAATTAAGAAATAAATATAGTTGCGAGATCAAGTGCGGTTTCACTATCATAGACCAAAATCCTAATAAAAGAAAAAATATATATACATTTTTCTTTTATTTATCTAGCTAATGAAATAGGTTAATAAACTAAGAGAAAGGCTCATCCAGCCTCAAAAAAAGAAACATAACTCAAGTTTGGGCTTACTTTCGTAGCTGCCTCACCAACCTCCCTAGTTCCCTTGAATACTTGTAATCTAATCATATGAAGTAACATACCTATGATAAGAAAAATCTGGACATATTAAATCTTTTTAGAGAAAACCTTTTTCCACTCAGACTCCAGCATTAACTATAGCTCACACTCTCACAGATTAGTGTTTGATAGCTTAACTTTCAGGGAAAAAAAAAACTCATAATAATAACATCAAGTCCACCAGTATTTATTTGTAATAAACTAATTTGTGAATTGAAATATAGGAAATACCTTATCTAGCTTGCTATCAAACAAATAATCAATTTTATATCAATTGCATTACAATTCATCTTGTTCCGAAGAACAAATGGCACCTTCTCCAGTTTAGTTTCTAAACAAAAACTATGTATGATATTGACAAGACACTGAGGGGTTCTGCCCCTGTACAAAAAGGATTTACAAAAGAAACAACTAATCAAAATATTTAAAAGTCCATAAATATTTTCATCTAGGTAATCTAAGCAAATGACAGCAATTTTTCATCAATGTATTTCTTTTGAAATAACCGCGAAAACAGCTAAAAGGTAGAGGAACAGATTCTACTGAGCTTTGCCTTCCCTAATTCCATACCATGCCTTTAGTTAGCTACAACTGAACCTCCAACTGTCTAATTGAAATTACAAAGATGAAGATTTGAGGACTGAATCATACATCCACGTACCTTTTGGGATCCACAGAAGAAAATGGCAAGGAGATTCAAGTTAAGATCACAACAACTACACACAGTTATCCTTCCTTAGCACATAGAAATCAAGGCTAAAATCTTCTTTGTTATCCAAGCTTACACAAAAGATTAGTAAGTACAAAATAAATTTCATTGCTGAAACAATTCTTCTCAGAAAGTTAACAAACTTCATACAGGTAAATATAGTTATCAAGAAATATGGAAATCCTCGATCACACGAGGAACAACGAGAAAATAATAAATCAAATTGCAAGAAATAACAAAAGCCGCTATAGAATCGTCTTTCTTGAATAAAATTATATATAAACATAGATATGAAAATTTGTTAAAAATTTCTTACGAATAAAATACCAAGAAAAAGAAGCAGGCAAAACATATCAACCAAAATCGTACGAAATTAACATATTTACAAACACGAAGGTAAAACAAATAAACTGTTTAAACAAGTACATCAAGTCAAAACAATTAAATTTCTTCAGCTGTTTTCCCTTGGAAAACTTACGTCCTCACTGGTATACATTAATATTCAGAGAAAAAATACCTGAAGTTCGATGAGAGGGAATATAGACCGGAGCTGATCAAGCAAACTCGGAGGCGATAAACGAATCGGAGAAGTCGAAGAGCATCGAATCCTCTTGGAAACCGGCGGCGAAGGAATATCCTCGAAGAACGACCTCTTGCTTCCACAGACTGCCGCAGACATGGTCCAAAACCAATCTAGGTTAGGATCTTCAACAGGAAAGAGGAGCTTTAAGTTATCGATGCGCTTTCTTTAGGGACGGTGTAAAGAAACTGAGCCTCCGCTTAGGTTTTGCTGGTTGCTTTTTGAGTTTTTAGCCTTTGTGGGCTTTTATTCTATGGCGTGCCGTATTGGTGGAGCAGCAGGAGCGGCAATACGATGTCGGTTGAGGTTTGGCGCGTGCAGTTCAATTCCTCCGGGAGTGGGGATGGGACTCAGAGGGGAATTTAAATTTCGTTCCCAACGGGAAAGTGACCGTTTGACCTCCTTGGTCAACATTTTTAGAAAGACCAAAAGCGATTACAGGCAATTTTCACCAACATTTTTAATATAAATTGAACTTACATATTTATTTTAAAATTTAATTAAAAAAATTTAATGTATAAAATTATCTCCACATTGCACATAAAAGTTTATATAATGAATATGCTGACATAAATATATATTTTTTAAAAATAGTGTATCTCATGAACCATCTTGGTAGATAAAATAGAATTATCATTATAATATTAATATCTAATTAGTGTAAGACATGAAATATATTATTTTATATGTCATTAAAAAGAAGTACGAAATTCATGTACGCATAAAAAAGTTTTGAGATATGCAATGTCGATTTAATTATGATGATATTAAAACAATAATAAATATTAATTTAAATATAACTCATAAATATTATCATCATAAGATCATTTTTTTTTAGAAAAACTGCTTGAATTTAATCAAATAAAGACTGGCTAAACAACATTATTCCATAAAATAGAAGCTAAAAAATCATGACTCTTGTAAATTAGTAACCACATAAGGTGCATAAAGTGTTTTCCTAGTAAAAACAAGATAAATGTGATTATGAATTCCAGAAATTCAAAAAGAAAATAAGGAGTTAAAGTTTTAAGCACAAAA